TACATATAAACAGATGGTTAAGAAAAATAATAAAATAATCAGAATTTACATGCTGAGTGGCTGGCTTTTCCGCCTAAGATCAGAACCTTTGTCATGACAGGCGTTCCTGCAAGATAATCAGAATCTACACTCTGTTAAATTACCATGCATAGAAAGGCAATTGTTCTGAAGTCCTCCCCCCTCAGCCCCCCAAAAAATGATCGAACTATCTTGAACAAAATCCAGCAAGTAGCAAAATAATATGGGCCTACAAGAAAAATTAAAAACAAGTAAAATTTCCATGCCTTTTGTTGAGACTTTTCCTCGCAACTGATTTTGGCGGATCAAAATTTGGGGTTTCAACTACAACATTTTTGCTGACTAGCTTGACAGTCACCGATTTTGGTTTTGGCGGATCAAAATTTGTCGTTGTTGATTCACAGTCCCAAATAGTTTTCCTCGAATAAACTTATTGAAAATTCTAGCAGATGAACCATAAGTCAGTAAAAAGATATTAAAAGAGAGAGTATTATACTATTATTATTGATAAATTTCTAAATTAAAAAAAAAAAAAAGTATGGAGAGAAAGAAGAAAGAGATGATACAAAAATTCTAAATTCGTGCAGCTTTGTTATTTGCAGAGGAGACAGAGAAGTGTAATTTGCCCTTATGAGCACCTCAAATAATATTTTCTTGTTCTTTCCTTATAAGAAAACAGACAAAGAAATTATATCTTCAAATCAATTGTAGAAATATCAACCACATATTCTCAATGGTAAAATACACTTTTATATATATATATATATATATATATATATATATATATTAAATTAATGTATATAATAAAATTAGAAAAATAGAAAAATATATTTAGTGTCATATTGTTGTTAATGTATAAATTTTAATTATATAAGGTGAGAGAAAGAAAAATTAATTTGGAACTCAGAATTTTCAATTTAGTTATAAGGATTTGGTTAGTTACGTTGATTTTAAATTTTTTTAACCGAATAAATAGATATTATTAATTAATTATATTGATTATTCAATCTATTCCTAACTAAATTATTGAATCTAATTAGTCACATATATTAAATATAAGATAACAACATAATAAATTTATGGTTGATTTTACTGTATATAAACTTACTTTAAGAAGAAAAATCTCTAATTCATCCTAAACTTTTGACAAGTTTGAATTTTAATTTTTTGTTAATTTATTTGGATGATACCAAGTTTGCGGATTATCAAATCTAATTCCAAATCATCCATTTTATTACATTAATATTAATATAAATATTTATACTAAATAAAATTAAAATTTATTTATTAATATATATAATATTATATTATTATTTAATTTAGTATATAATGTACTTATTTTTATTAATATAACATACTATATTTAACAATATAAATATATCATATTTATTTTAATAAATTGACATATATAACAAGTTAATTTCATATGAATATTGAAAGATTACAACCAAATCAAACCACCTCGACCTGCCATCTTTTTTCCACTAACTCAAACTCGACTAAACCCTAAACTCTAAATCCAAAATCCAAAACTCAAAACCCAAAATCTTAAATCCTAAAACTATAAACCCTAAAACTCTAAAACTCTAAACCCTAACACCCTAATAGTATTTATAGTATGTATATATATATATATATATAATTGTGTTAACTATTTAATCC